TGTTTTATAGTTGTTGTTGCTATCTGGTATCTCTGGTTCCGATTTTTACTTGACTTTTTCATCAATATGAAACTATCACTGTATATTAATCTGTGCTTGCTTTCACCCACCTCAAGCTGATTACTGCGCCTAAGGCTGAGAACCACATGTATGTGCAACAGCGAGACGAATATCTGGAAAGCTTCTGCAAAATGGCCACCAGGAAAATCTCTGTGATCACCATCTTTGGCCCTGTCAACAACAGCACCATGAAAATCGACCATTTCCAGCTAGGTGCTCTTAAAATCTTTTATTTATTATTGTATTTCTCATATCTAAGGTGGCGCAAACTTTATGAGAGGGGTAGAGTGGGAAGGGGAAGCAAAAGGTGGATGCAGATGACCAGAGGGCCTCTTTTCCTTGTGTAACAGAGGTCAGTGTGCTTGCTTATTTATATGACCATATAGGGCTTTTTCTGGTTTAAGTTTTAGCACTGTAAAATGAAAACTATGCAAGCACCCTATGGTTCAAAAGTCCGCAAGGCAGACAAAAGCTAAAGAAGAATACAAAGGGAGGGGTACCAGCAAGGTATTGAGGTACTCATTTGAATCCTGAGTCTTGCCTGTGAGCGCCACCACCTAAATCTCCTGTAGATGACGCATGCACAGTGGGGACCTGCAGAACCTTAGAAGTACTTGACTTTGGGCAAGACTGAGGAGGGAATTAACCAGGGCTGTAAGAAGCTATTAACATATTAACATTAAAATAAATGAAAAGTCACTTAAAATATAAACTGAACTGCATCTGAGTCCTTTTGGCAAGCTGAAGAAGTTGGCTGAATTAAGAGTTTTCACAATTCTCCATATTAATGATGCATGTGAGATGCATAAAGCGTACAGCTCAGCATTGGATAGCTGAGATCTAAGTCATTACAGTTCTCATGGGAAAATTACAAGATGTACTGTGAATATTTCAGCCTCATAGTCAGAAGTCCAAAGTATGATCCACCCATTTTATTTTATAATTATTCCATTTCTAGGTCTTTATTCTTAAAAACACCCACACACAAATGAACATTCTTTCTACATACATTATCTACTTTGAGAGCCTTTTGGTTGTGAAAATGATTAACACACTTGAAGGTGTGAGTCAATCTAGAGGTACTTAGGAAGAAAAATCTGGCAATCTATTTCTGAAAAATCAGCTCTTGAAAACTGACTCGACAGCATCTGTGTTTGCCTAGTTTTATTAGCTCACCTTCCCCTAAGATATCTCCAAAGAAAAATAAATAGCATCCATTAATGTCTCATTATAAATTATTGCATATTGGTGATTGGTTTGTCTACGAGCTCATGTGCTGTGTATATGTTTGAGGGAGAGAGCAAAAAATTGAATGTGTCCTTAGAAAAAACAGGAATAGCAATAAAAGTCATGCATGCATCCCAAAAATACAAGAAAGGTCCTGGAGTCAAAGTGAGAGTTCAAACCCAGAGACACAACTTACTGGTTTCATGACCTTAGACAAGTCACCTTCTAGTCTTATCTTAAAGGATGATCAGTCACAGACTGTGGGGAGGATTTCTTGATATAATGTGTGCAATACCTGTAAAATATTTAGGTGAATTGGATTTGTGTGGCTTTCATTGTTAATACCAGTGGGTTTGACAGACATCTGGAAGTCAGTGAATAGTCACAGGGACAACCAAACCCAAACCAAATCTTATTGACTCTGACTCAGGATGATCCAATGTGTGCAGAGTAGAAATATGTTCCGTTGGGTTTTCATAGCTCTGAACTTTCAGAACAAGATTTCCAGACCTTTCTTCCAAGATGCCTCTGGATAGTCCAAACTGATAACCTTTTGACTAGTAGCTGAGTGCCTCACTGTGCTCCTCTGGGTCTCTTTCACAAAGACTGTTGTTGTTAAGTGCTATTGAGTAGCTTCCAACTTGTATCAATCCTGCAAAGGGTTTCCAAACTGTAAATCTTTGCAGGAGCAGAAAGTTTCATCTTTCTTCTGCAGAGCAGCTAGTGGGTTCGACTACCAACCTTGTGGTTCACAGTCTAGTCCTTATCCTACTGAGCCACTGCAATTCCCCCACAAGGACTTATTGTCAAGTGCCTTCAAGTCGGTTCCAACTCATAAGGACTTTATATAGGGATTCTGAGGTGCAACTGGTGGGTTTGAACTGCCAACATTGGGGTTTGCAGACCAATGCTTATCCTATAGTGCCACACCAGCTCAGTGACTAGAGCACCGAAATACTCCTAATTGCTCTTCTCAAATCACCAAATGTTGACCCATGAGTCCTCACAACTGCTTTCAAAGGTCAGGCTGCGTTATTACTCCTGATGATAAAATTGAAGCTCAAGAGACTAATACTGTAAAGCCAAATATGTAGTGGTTGAACTGGGATTCGAGCCATTTGCTTTCTGGATTTTCAAATAGTAGCATGAGCCAGTAGCTTAATTATGATCCAGATGTCTCAAGAGGAAGTAAATAAATATTCATTCCAGCACAGAGACTGGCACTGATCGTGATGAAAACTATCCTTAACCAGGTGTTCCCAGTGTCAAATGTGTTACCCACCAACCTTACACAAAGTATCCTCCTTCCTTATTTCAGAAAAGTTTGGAAAAATCATTAGATCTTCCATCTCAACCTCTGTATTTTCTTAACTATTATAAGCATATTGTGCTGTCTTGACAAATTTTTTTTTTCACATAATCTTGCTATTTTCTGAACATCTAGATTGACTGTGAATTTTAGAGGAGCTGAAGCTTTGTTTTTACTGCCTTATTGGAAACCAGGTATTGTGATTTGGGTGTTTGTCTCATTGAATGGCACACTGGACCAGGTTTTGAGGCCTTTATTTTGCTCCTCATCTAATTCCTGGAAGACCTTTCTTACCTTGTACCATGTCCCAGGTTAGCCTTATGGGAAAGACTTTAACATGCTGAGCCAAGGCTGAGAGTCAGCCATGGAAAAATAAGAATTGACATGAGTCATGATCTCAGTGAACCAAACTCCAGCCTTGACCAATTTTCAGCTGGAAATCTATCAGATGGCCTTACTTTCTTTCAAAATAAATCAAGTGCTCTCTGCTCTTCCAGACTTTTCCTGGGCTTTGAAAGTTGCCCAAATTCACCTACAGTGTAGGTTGTACTCACTTACTGGTCTACTGGCTCAGTCTTTTGGGAACATCAATAATGAAGCTACAAACAACCAGGAAACTTACCCTAAGATTTCAGGCATTTTTTCTAAAGAAAGTTATGTATGGTTCTGTAAATTCCCAGGAGAGATAGCCTATTTGGTTTGGCCAGCACAATATATGTTATATGTTGTTGTTAAGTGCTGTCGAATCAGTTCCGACCTATAGCAATCCTATATAGGGTTTCCAAGGAGCAACTGGTGAGCTTAAACCGCAGACCTTATGGTTCAAACTGACCTTGCAGTCCAGTGCATTAACCCGAAGGTTTTTAAATGGCATAACATATAAATGCATTTTTTTCTCTTTCATTGTCTTTCTTTATTAATTTTTGTTTTTTAAACTTTTTATTGTGAATTGAATGCAGGTTTACATATAAGATCATCAGCTTTACATTTAAACAAATAACACACTTTACTTCATCTCAATAATTGTAAGCCCCTCCCTGGAACAACAGCTATCCGGCTTCCTCTCTATGGTTCCTACCTCCACTCCACCCACCTTCCTATCTCTTCTCACTTTTGTCCTTAAGTACATGTTGCCCCTTTGATTTTGAGTGGTTGACCATTCCATAATTCATAGTGAGCATACTTTATTATTGTTGTTACCCCTATATACCTATCTACTGCTTGGCTGAAAGTTGGGCCACCAGAGTGAGTTCCTTTCCAAACCTGAAGGGTAGTTGAAGGCCATTGTCTCAGGATTCTCCAGTCTCTTTATAACTTAAGACCAGTTGTTTTCTTAAGTTTTTCACAATAATGGTAACATACAATATTTGTCCTTTTGTGACTAATTTCACTAAGCATAATGTCCTCCAGGTTCATCCAAGTTAGAAGGTGTTTCGTAGAGTCATCATTATTGTTCAGTGTTGCATAGTATATCCCATTGCGTGTATGTACCAAAATGTATTTCTCCATATTTCCATTGTTGTGCACTTAGGCTGTCTCCATCTTTTTGCCATGGTGAATAGTGCTGTACATCAGCTGCTCCTTGGAAACCCTACACAGGGTTACTATGAGTCGGCACCTTACTTGGTGGTTCTTAACAATAACAATGGACCAGGCATAGGGACTGCTGGGCCATAAGGTATTTCTATTTCCAACTTTCTGAGGAAGCACCATACCATTCTGCAGAGTGGTTGAACCATTTTACAGTCCCACCAGCAAAGTAAGAGGGTCTCAGTCTCTCTACACTCTCACCAGGATTTGTTGTTTTTTTGAACTTCACTGTAAATGTTGGTGAGAGATATCTCATTGTTGTTTTAATTTGCATCATCTTCCTGAATGTGCCTTATCTTGGAAGCTAAGCAGGGTCGGGCCTGGTTAGTACTTGGATGGAAGACCACCTGGGAATCCCTAGTGCTGTAGGCTTTGGGAGTTTGGTGCTGTGGGTTAATGTGCTGGACTGCAAGGTCAGAAACCCCATACAAGGTCGCTATGAGTCAGAAACAATTCAACGGTTCTTAACAACAACAACAATGGCTAATGACTATGAACAATTCTATACCTTTTGGCTGCCTGACTTCCTTGGTGAAGTGTCTGTTCATGTCTTGAGGCCATTTTTTTAATTGGGCTGTTTGTCTTTTTCTTGTGGAGGTGTTGTAGTTTTCTATAAACTTTAGACTTTTGTCCCTTGTCTGATATGTCATTGCAAGAAAAAAAAAATCCCAATCTGTGGACTCCTTCTTACTCTTTTGGCAAAATCTTACTCTTTTAATGCACATAAGTTTCTAATTTTGAGGAGTCCCAGTCATCTGTTTTGTTTTCTAATACTTGAACATTGTATGCAATATTTGATAGTGTATGTATGCTATGTATTGTTGTTGTCGTTGCTGTTAAGTGTTGCCAATTGGATTCTGACTCATTGCAACCCTATCTGGGGTTTCTGAGGAGTGGCTTTGAGGAAGCAGAGAGCCTCATCTTTCTCCTGTGGAGCAGCTGGTGGGCTTGAACCACTGACCTTATGGTTTGCAGTCCAGTGCTTATTGTATGGAGCCACCGTGCTCCCTATTTAACTTTTGGATAGATGATAAGTTTTCTGGATTCAAAAGTTAAAGTTATGTACAAAGATAAACCCAGACTACTC